AGAAAAATAAACAAGAAATCAAGATAATTGTGAACTAACCAATTCTATCTTCACTAGTAATTTGTAATTATTTTTAAGATTTTTTATTTTTTTATAAAAATATAAAATTATACATCGTTAAGTCACAATTTACTATAACAGAGAATATGGTGAGGGATCCTTACCTAGATATGTGTTTCAAGACGTCGTATTGTCTAACACGCCTCTTAATAGGTACCGAATTTCTTGAATTTTTTTTGTGAAATTCAAAACACTCGTCACATACCTAAAAATACTCCAAAAATCTAAAATTGGTATCTAAAACTCTTTTTGGCCAAATTTGGGATTCCAGCAAGGCGCTGCCACCGTGCTTCGGCGCTGGCTCCTTCGCCTGCTGCAGTAGTCCGCCTCGGCTAGGCCGATTTTGGCCAACTTTACACGTATCCCTGTGGAAAAACACGTTAGGGGGCCTCAATTGGACGAAAAATTACCAAAAACATCAAACCTACCGGCGGGGGGTCACTAGGTGCAGTGGCTCTGTCAATCCTCCTTTGTGGCTGGGGTTTCTTCTTCAGCTAACCTGCACAGAAAATGACGATGAACACAATGATCGAATAATTACGTGAAACGGGAATCAGAAAAGGGCTCATCGGATGGACTTTGGAGTTTTGGCCACGGCAGCTCCGTAAGGCTTTGCCCATGATTTTTAACTCACCCGCTGTACTCTTGCTCTGATTTGACCACAAGGATACTCGGAATCAAATTTCAAGCAGGTAGGGAGAATTTTTAACTTTTTTTACAACCGGCAGTGGCTCTGGTGCGGCGACGGTCAGTCTCCTTCTCCGGTGTTTGGTTTTTCTTCTCCGACGAGAGCTGGTGGCTAGGGTTTGGGTTCTCATGCAACGTGAAGTATTTATACCCAGCCCGCATTGATCTGTACCATCTATCGCGATTGATTTCGTCTGTCTGATCACACCTAAGGAGGAAACAAATCTGGACTATCCATCGTGATTGATCTCGGCTGTCCGATCGCGCCTAAGGGAGAAACAAATTCGGGTCATCTACACACGCGGCATCGATCCTAGGTTGTCCGATCGCAGGGCATGCAGATCGCCCATGTGGCCTCCTGCGTGGCACCGACATCAGCGTGTCTTATCATGCGGCATGCTTTAGTTCATCGGGGCCATTGATTGGGTGGTTCTATATAGCTGAACTTTTTTTATTTGCACTTTAACCCTCCTGTTTCTAATTTTTCTTTCAAAAATACCATCCGAATTCAAATTTTAACCCATTTCTTCCAAAATTGTTATCAATTACATCCCTAACCTATTTTTTTCAATTAATTAATAAAATTAAGTTTAAATTGATTTAAAAATAATTTTTATTTATTTTTTAATACTAAAATTTGATCTTCGGTTCGAGCATTACACTCTTTCCCCTTAAAAAGAAATTTGGTCCCTCAAATTTCTCACTCTATTACTAATCAAATAGTTAGAGATACTGGACTCTGAAGTCTGATTCTAGCTCCCACGTGACCTCTTTCTCTGTGTGATTCTACCATAGGATCTTGACGAAAGAAATTTCCTTATTGTGGAGTAATATGCTTTTTCGGCCTACAATGTCCACTGGTACCTCCTCATAGAATAGATCTTCTTGTAATGACGGGAGCACGTGGGACAAGATATGTAAGGGGTCCGAGTTGTACTTGCGTAGCATGGACACATGAAATACATTATGAACCTTGGATAGCTCTAGAGGTAGTATCAGTCTGTAAGTGGTCGTACCAATCATGTCTAAGATCTCAAATGCCCCAATGAATTGGGGATTTAATCTCCTCCTTTTGCCAAACTTACTAATTCTCTTTAAAGGGATGACCTTGAGGAATACTCAATCACATTTCTCAAATTTCAAATCCCTCCTCCGAGTGT